AAAGGGAAGACATGGTAAGGAAGGTTTTGAAAACGGACTGAAGGAGTGGATTTTAAGAAAGGAATTCTACACGCTAGAAAATTTTTTATCAGGAAATTGGGAGCTGGAGGAACTACGAAAATTACTTATGCTTCAACCTCAGCCGGTCTTGATCTATTGATTTATTGATGACTAAAGCAATGAAGGAGAAAATCGAAGAGAATCGGAGAGAATGTGACTCCAGTCATTTATGACGTTGGCTTAAAAAAACAAGCAGGCCCGCCCTTCCGCCAAACGAAGTCGCCAGCTCCGCTTCACTCCGCCGGCAACTCCGTTTGGCAGGGGCCGGGCCCGACCATTCCTGTCTCACTCTTTGCTGAAGAACATGATCGAATGATGTAGCGGGCCTTCGGCCCGCTTAAACCCGCCGTCTTTCAGTTTGTCCAAAAGACTCGAGAAAGGGATGTAACGGTGAAGCACCGCGACTACAACCCACCCCTCTGCTTAGAAAACGTTTTTTTTGGGGTGGGGGGAGAGTTTCCTTTCTAATTTGCGGTTTTTAGGCCTTTTTCTACAACTTATTGTTCACTATGGCAATTTTCAGCTTATTTTCGTCAAAAAAAATTTTGTTGATCGGCGCAGACCAATCCGTTGCAGCACAGTGGTGCACACCAAACAGACCAGTTGGCCGTGAAGATGGGCATGTTCCTGTGTGCGTAGGGTCAGGTAGGGGAAAAACGAGACATTTCAATAACTTTCGTCATATCAAGCATTTAAATGGTGAAGAACATGATCGAATGATGTAGCGGGCCTTCGGCCCGCTTAAACCCGCCGTCTTTCAGTTTGTCCAAAAGACTCGAGAAAGGGATGTAACGGTGAAGCACCGCGACTACAACCCACCCCTCTGCTTAGAAAACGTTTTTTTTGGGGTGGGGGGAGAGTTTCCTTTCTAATTTGCGGTTTTTAGGCCTTTTTCTACAACTTATTGTTCACTATGGCAATTTTCAGCTTATTTTCGTCAAAAAAAATTTTGTTGATCGGCGCAGACCAATCCGTTGCAGCACAGTGGTGCACACCAAACAGACCAGTTGGCCGTGAAGATGGGCATATTCCTGTGTGCGTAGGGTCAGGTAGGGGAAAAACGAGACATTTCAATAACTTTCGTCTTGTCAAGCATTTAAATGGTCATTTGATAAGTTTTCCTGCGTCTGGTCAATGAAACACATCCCTAGTAATGAAATTAAAGCGTTATTTTAGTACCGCAACCCGTGGTGTATGCAGAATCCGAAATAGTATGCGTCTTTTCCCCAACACGCATTTCGGGGAAAAATGAGACACCCGTGGGTTGGGTAAGAATAAGACAGGCCAAAACCCAGCAAATAAGATAGGGACCTGCCTTGGGGAAAAACGAGACAGCGCCACTCCATTTTTTGTCTCATTTTTCCCCGCATTGGCTTCCCATGTTAAGTCAATGGAACAGAGTGTATCTTTCTTCCCCACGCAAGTGTCTCATTTTTCCCCGTGCACTTATAGTTAGTCGTACTGTTAGTAGAATTATAATTCAGGGATGTTGTATAGCTTAACGGAACCGCAGAAATCACAGCTTTCCAACAACCTCGCACACTTAATCTTTACTCCTAAGAATACGGCTGCAGTACTGAAAGTATAAAACCCCCGCAGAAAAGTTTTAGAGCCCTTGCGTATAGGTGGTAGGACAAGCATCCCATTAGGTATGTTTCGTGACGAGAACAAGCGAGTAAACTTCCCAGAACCGGTTAATAATTGAAGTCTAATGTTAAAAGATGCGTTTTCAACGCCGAAACACTAGGAATGAAGTCAAAAAGCATGCAAACCAATCAAGAGAAGCGAGTGTATTATTCTTCCCCAATTTAAAGGTGTCTCATTTTTCCCCGACCTGACCCTACAGCACAACGGCAAAATTGGCGTGCATCTATGTTTCTTAATACACCTTAAAATCCCAAATCGATGCGGCCTGTAGTTTTTATGTAGTGACGGTCGAGGTGACGGTTCTTGCAAACCCTTACATTTCACAAGTCTGCTGCCTTAAACCGGCAACCGGACCACCGGACCATCGGCGGTCCGGGGGTAATGTGGACCACCCTCTTACTGCTGCTGTTTGAGGTGCACTGGAGCACAAGGAGCCGAATCAATAGCTTATCGTTCATCGTGGTCACGGCCGCCACTAACAAAGCGCATCAGTACCGACAAGAAGGTGGTCCACATCACCCCCTGCTGGTCCAAATTAGCCTGTTTTAAGGCATATGTAAATCAATTTTAGAGATGAAGAGCGAAGTTCTGTGAGAATTTCGGAAAGAGGGCAAAAGTGAATCTGCGCATAATCCGAACAACATTTTCAGAATGTGCATACGTGCATAAATTTCCATTCCAATTCCATCCTACAAAATTACAAAGCATCCCAAACTAACAAACCCTAACCCTTTTGAAAAAAACACTTCTCTTAGGACCAAAATTTTATTTTCTCCATCCATTTCCAAATTCTTTACTCTAATCCCACCAGTGTTTCTCACATTGAAACAATTTTCCCCATTCCAAACCCTTTCATATTCCAACTAAACCCACCTCCGTTAATCCAAAAAATACTTTAAATTTCCAATCCAAATTCTTCTTCTCTAAACTCTTATAAAAAATACAAAGCAACCCAAACTAACAAAACCTAGCCCTTTACAAAAAACCACTCTTCTTCATTCCAAAATTCTCTTCACTCCATCCATTTCCTACTTCCCCCTCAC